GACCTCATTGTGTTGTCCGTCGACCACAACACCTCTTATGATGTCATTTACAGTTCAAACCATCTGAACATCACTTTTGAGCACAAATTGTATGACATGTCTGTCCACCAAATGAGCGCCCATTTAACCAATTGCTGTGTTTGTCATGAATTAGGTCTCAATTGAGTGAATGGATCGACACATTAGGCGAAGAATCGGCTAAAGTATGTGTTGTCTTGTAATGTAATGATTGTCTCCCAAATGCATTCAATTGATACCATAATTGCATACTTAAGGCACAACTCCTGAAACAGTCGATCACTTCATACAATAAACTGATTGATGAGCGAAATGACGACAAAATCTATTTATTGCTAAAAGTGGACCAAAATGTCAGTAACTGTTCGGCCGTTGGGTTCGTGCGGTTGGGCGCAAGAAATCTGTGGTTTAGCGACAAATCCAATACAAACTTAACTCAGTTTCAGAACTGCTTCTGTATATTAGGTGACAATCAGTGATACATTCAATGATATTCTGATGGTATGTGTGTTTGAAACAGATTTCTATATCCGAGACCAACGACAAGGTTTGGGATTCGTATTGATCTCATCGGTGATGAGGTCGGTGTCCACATCGGCCGCACAGTTCGCATACGACAGGCCCACCGAAGCGATGCTGGCCTTCCTCCGCAAACACTTTGGTCTGAGGCAAGCGCTGCCACAACACAACCATTTCGTCATTTTTGACGACTTTTTTACTCATAATAACTATTAATTTGTTTAATTTTTTTATAAATTTAATACACTTTCGGTTATCAATACTAATCATTAACTCAAATATATTTTTATGAATTCAAGTCAATTTGGTTTCAATCAAAACTACTTATGGTTAGAAATGCAATATTCGTGACATTTGTGATATTTTGTTCATTTATTTTCTATTATTTTTATAATTTCATAGATTTATTACAACAAAATAAATATTTTTATTTAAAAATTAATATTATAATNATTTTTATGAATTCAAGTCAATTTGGTTTCAATCAAAACTACTTATGGTTAGAAATGCAATATTCGTGACATTTGTGATATTTTGTTCATTTATTTTCTATTATTTTTATAATTTCATAGATTTATTACAACAAAATAAATATTTTTATTTAAAAATTAATATTATAATTTAAATCAATGTACTGTACTATAAGAAATTACAAATATTTAATCAAATAAAACCGAATTCCAGTCATTTTTATGATACAAAAAATGAGTTAAAATTTATCATAAATTATTTATACAAAACTTAAAAAACTAAAAAAAATCTTATTTAAAGAGAAATGAAATGAAATAACGAATGAATGTTTGAGATGTGGATTCACTCCTCTTTAGGAGCGGTTTGCGAATCATTAAAAGTGAGACTTTGTTTGGATTCCTGTGAAGACATATCGAAGTTATAGAGGAATGAGTTCTTCATGAGGTCCGACTGCGCGGCTATTATTTCGTGTAATTCCGTGATATCTCTCTCGTCCTCCAACTCAATGGCGCCGTCGATATCAGTGATGGCTTCGCAGAAAGCGATCGGCAGTTCATTCATGAGTTTGTGTTTGTGTTCACCACTCGAACACAACTTCTCAATCATTTTGTACACTATTTTTGTCTTTTTAGTCAATTTGTGCTCAATTAGTGTCAAATACACCAACTTTTGGGCCACTTCTGAGTAGTTCTCAGCTGTAGTCGAAAGAAAACATGCAAAACATTACACGAATTCAACGAATATCTTAATTAATATCAATTACTCGACATCTTTGCGTAGAAGTACTGATAAGTGATGTCATCGCCGGCGAAGAACAGAAGTGATGCCATGTTTTCAAACAACCAGTTCTGAGGGGTTTTCATAATCTCTTCCATCAATAGAATTACATCTGAAGTGCAATAAAAGAGTTGTTTAGAGATGAGAGCGAATGGGAGGGGAATACATACTAGACTTGTCTTCGGGTGACTTAGTCTGTCCGTAAAGCATGTATAGCGCGAAACCTAACTCTTCTAAACCTTGATTAATGAAGAAAGTGTCCGTCAGATCCCACCATCCGATGTATGGGATGGAAGTGGACGCCGGACTCACACTAATCAGTGGTCCGTATGTTATGAGTAATAGCTTTGCTCTCATTTGCAGCGAATGGGGTTTAAGGATACGATTCAACCAAAAGAGCGCCTCAGGGATGGTCTGACTCTTGTTGTCCTTCTGCGAGGGATCGATGCATACGAACCGATAGAAACAGCGCACGAAGTACTCGACCGGT